CAATGAGTGTGATGTGAAACTCACTGTTTGTTTTAAAAACAATACAATACAATAGACAATAAGTTTCACATTCCCAGACATGCACCACTGAACATGGGCTTTATTCCACTTATTTCCTCATCTCTTTGGAACCAAATGTTCTATTGGGATGAATTCAATCAGTATGATGGGAGACATAAATAAACGAAACAAAATCAGTTGAACTACAATCGGTTCTGGCATCTCTAAGAAATGTGAATGAGTAATACAGTATGAATGCGGAACCAAACATCTGATCGGGATTAAATTCAAAAAGTTCTATGAACGTCAGATACAAACAAAATGGAACCATCCCGAGAAAAGCGAGGGACTATTGCTCATCTGATTCTAAACCATATACAGTAATCACCCGATTTTGCCAGCCCCCTTTTTGAAAATCTTTTCTAATGTTCTATGAAACCCATGCGCTTTTTCAGTGATCTTAATGCACCAAAGTAACAATTGCTTAAACATCTATCTTGAAGATGAATGAGAATTTTTTGTTTAATTTAAATCGGTTTTGTCAACACCAAACAAAGTCAATGAGTGTCACGTAGTTGTGTTCAATATAGCAGCGCATGCCGATTTCCATACAAAATGGTCAACTTAGACATGACAAGACAATTTTACCTAGGGTCTCACTTTCCAACAGGTGCTTCCAAAATATTGGTATTTTGTAATCGTAAAATTGAACACATTTGTAGTTCTGTGGCGAACGTTTCAGCTAAATTGATCATAAGTTAACAAAGTTACAACTTGTCAAAAATGACCATTTTGTATGGAAATCGGCATGCACTGCTATTAAATTGAACAAAGGTGTACACATACATCACTCACAAACCCAACAAACAATTAGAACAAAAATGTGATTCCAAGTGATATTAAAGCAGAACGAGAAAGGCAAAAATAGAAATTAAAACAATAATCATAATTTTGCGAAAAAAAACCTACACTATTTATTCAACTCTATCACGTTCGATATTTCAAATGTTTGAATTTCGTTATCATTGGAATTCACTGGAATCTCAGGCAGCTAAATCACAATCGCTTCAAACGGTTCCCGCAGCTGGTTCCAGGTTCAGTGACTGCTGCGAAGCGGTGTGTCCGGCGAGTGGGGCATCATGGACGGCTCCACGGTTGGCGGCCACATAGCGAGCTTCCTTCTGGGCAACGACGGCCACGGTTGGCTGAGCAACGATGGTGGCAGCTGGGGCAACGACGTGAGTGGCTTCAACGACATCCGAATCGTACGAGTTGTAGGCCAGAACCGGGGAAGCAGCATAGGCCACGGGGGCAGCGTAACGTGGGACAACATTGGACTGGATGAGGGTGGTGTGTGGAGCGGAGTAGGCAACTGGGGCAGCGGCATAGGTGGTCACCGGAACCGATGCGACATACCGAGGAGCCACATTCTGCTGGACAACGGTGGTGTGAGGAGCAGAATAAGCCAGTGGGACCGAGTAGGATACGGCACCTCCTTCAGCAACAACGGCCAGGGCCATCATGACTACAGCTGCGATGCACTGTTGGATGATGGAACGAGATTAGCTTGAATTGAATTCTTGGTGTTGTTAGAAGACTCACCTTCATGATTGTTGATTTCTTGAGGAATTGGTCGCTGAAGGACTAGAAGATTCTTACAGTTTCGAGTACTGGTGAATTCTGATAGTTGAAAACACGCTGATTCTTTCTTTTATACTCAAAGGAATCGAAGCAATGGAGATCACAGGAATTCAACCCGGACCAGGAGGATGACGAAACTGGTTGTCGAAATTCTACCGAGCATCATTAAAAGGTAAGTCGGTTAGGCTTGGCTGGTGCAAGCCATTGAGCTTGCTTCATGCATCAATCAAAGAATCAATTCAAAGACAATCTAATTATCTGAAAATAGCTCAAATTGCATTGATGGGTGGAAACTTGCAAAACCTGATTTGTTTACATTTATTAGTGGCCGTTCATTTTTAGAACAAATCCATAAGAGACATAGCAGTAGCAAAAAAAAAACCGTAAATATCAACAACTGTCCGAAATCCCAACCGGTAAGTGGGCATAAAATAGAGCAAGCGATAAATACCGACAACCAAGAGCTAACAACCGTGTTTGTGCTATCGCTCAGGTTTAATTCGCTTAGCGTGTGTTCAATCACTAAACCGAATTTTGCCTTAGAATATATATATATATATGGCAGATGTAAAAAAAAGTTAGGTTAACACGATGGTGTAGCTCACTCTTATGTCAAAATTCAAATTCATACAGGTAGTTGGTCTACCTGTTAAGGTTGATTTAATTTTCAGCTTAGTTGAGTGCAGAAGAAATGATTTTTATCAGCACTGACCTATATCCACTACGCCAATGAATGTGAAATGACCTTCTATGGGAGGATGTGCAAAATACTGAAAGCACTAAAACCATCATTCAGACATTGGAGGAATAATTTATTGAGCTGCATTCTTATCAATTACTGATTTCGGATGAATCAAACATGGAACGATTAGAATTGCAAATAACTGTATTTATACATAAGCCGTTTTCATATCTATCGAGTTTCTGATTCAGGATCTACCAAGTTCCTGGAGCTGGAGCCAGATTCAGCGACTTCTGGTTGACAATGTGTCCGGGAAGTGGAGCCTTGTGCACGGCTCCACGGTTGGCAGAAACATACGAAGCGAAGTGATGCACTGGAGCAGCAAAGGCCACAGCTGGAACTTGATGATGATGATCCCAGTGGCTATCGTAGGCAGTGACGGCAGCTGGAACGTACTGGGGATATGAGTTGTAGGCAGCCACTTGATAAGGATGAGCATAGGCGTGTTGAGCCCAGCTGTGATGATCATTCGATTGAACAACGGTTGGTCCATGATGGGCAGCGTAAGTCGCATATGGAGCAGCAGTATAACCATATCCGTGATGGGCATATACCGATGGGACGTAGGAACCTTCAGCGGCTACGGCAAGGGCAATCATGACTACAGCTGCGATGCACTGTAATATTATAATTAATATTGGTTAAATTGGGACATTTTAACAAAGAAGATCAAGTTGTTTACCTTCATGATAACTGTTTTGAAATTTGATCTAAAGATGCGAACTAGATGGAAGATGGAATTAGTTTGATTCCTTTGCCAAAATACAGGTCCATTTTATACCATTATCGAATAGGTGTAAAACAAAGCAGAAGCTTTGACAAATCGTTGAATGATTTAATTTAATCAAAAAAAGCGCACCAATTAAGGCACGATAAAATCAGCAATCTAAAATTGTATATCCCCGTCCTGCTGCAATGACCTGCAACCAACATTGATAGAGATGGTAGCAATCGCGAATTTTTGATTGTTTCGTTTTGATGTTCTATTCTACTTTCATTTGGTGCAAATTGCTAGCTTTCAAAATTGTACACGAATTTTCTGATGGTATAAAGTGAGCAATTGATTCGTTTTAAGGATCATACTCATCCGAGCAATCGACTTGTCTGCAGGTTTAATCCAAAATCAACAATCATGAAGGTAGTTTCTAGCGTTCATTTAACAAAGTTCAGAACTTAGTACAATTTTGTCTTTTACAGTGCATCACAGCAGTAGTTATGTTGGCTCTCGCCGTAGCCACAGAAGGCTCCTACGTCCCATCGGCTTACGCCCATCACGGATATGGTTAAGCTGCTGCTCCATATGCGACCTACGCTTCCCATCATGGACCAACCGTTGTTCAATCGAATGATCAACAGAGCTGGGCACACCAGGCTTACGCTCACCAGGCTCCAGTAGTTGCCTACAATTCGTATCCTTATCACGTTCCAGCGGCCGTCACTGCCTACGATAGCCATTGGGATCTTCGCCATAAAGTTCCAGCTGTGGCCTATGCTGCTCCAGTGCATCACTCCGCTTCGTATGTGGCTGTCAACCGTGGAGCAGTGCACAAGGCCCCGCTTCCCGGACACTTTGTCAATCAGAAGTCGCTGAATCTGGCTCCAGCTCCAGGAACATGGTAGAATTATTGACTATTTGATATAAAACCGGAATATTTGAAAATAAACAATTAACACAGCAAATATCAATAAATTCTCTTCATCACCCACCGACGCTTCATTTGAATTAAATTAACGTTTCCCATCAAGTGTGTTCATTGATATCGTCCGCATTCATTTTGCTTCATCTACCGAGTTCAGTGAACCAATTTGCACTGACTACACCCGAATCACCTTGATATCATCAAATTAAAAATCAAAATGCTTATTGCTCTCCGATCGTTCCGCTTTGGGCTGTTAGTGGCGATGGTAGGTGGATCATCAAAGGAGGAATTCAATTGAATTAGTTGAATCACTTCATCAGGCCATGACTGCTTGAGGTGATTGCTTGAAAATCGAGGCAGACTTCTCGATTGTCCAACCTATCAATGACGAGTGATCTTCACCGGTTGAAGTGATTGAGAGGTTTTTCTAGTTTTGATCGGATAGAAGAGCATTGGCATTCGTAATTGGGTCAAACGGTTGTATTTGAATGCTGCGATTTTGAAACTGCAGATCTGTGAGCGAAGTAAATGGCAATCGGCAGAGCCAGAATGCTGATCTAAAAAATAATTGGTAGGTCTACTATTATGCTGATTTAATGTTAATAAGTCTTTGAGGTAAAGTGACTCAACTTTTGACAGACAATTTTCAGACAATCCCAAATCATGTCCAGAATTTTTGATGAAAGCATTTTATCGATGGATCTTGTAGAAATGACTGGCCAATTAGGACCTGGTGGTTTAAGATCGAAGTCTTTGCTGAAAAAATTTATAAAAGTATTAAAAACTCAAATATTTCAAAAAGTTTACCTTCAATAATTCTAATAAAAATCTGAACTCATCAAAATATTTTTTTGTTTAATAGAGAATAAAAAAAACATGTTTTAATACTGCAGAACTATATTCAAACAACTCTCTCGGATTCGACATTTTCAATGACTCAATTTCATTTCTTTTAACGGTTATTCTCTGGGGGGAGGGGGATCAGATATCAAAACTACAATCGCTTCAAACGGTTCCCGCAGCTGGTTCCAGGTTCAGCGACTGCTGCGAAACGGTGTGTCCGGCGAGTGGGGCATCATGGACGGCTCCTCGGTTGGCGGCCACATAGCGAGCTTCCTGCTGGGCAACGACGGCCACGGCTGGCTGAGCAAAAACGGTGGCAGCTGGGGCAACTACGTGAGTGGCTTCAACGACATCCGAATCGTACGAGTTGTAGGCCAGAACCGGGGAAGCAGCATAGGCCACTGGGGAAGCAGCATAGGCCACCGGGGAGGCATAACGTGGGACAACGCTGGATTGGAAGACGGTGGTGTGTGGAGCGGAGTAGGCAACCGGGGCAGCAGCATAGGTGGTCACCGGAACCGATGCGACATACCGAGGAGCCACATTCTGCTGGACAACGGTGGTGTGAGGAGCAGAATAAGCCAGTGGGACCGAGTAGGACACGGCACCTCCTTCAGCAACAACGGCCAGGGCCATCATGACTACAGCTGCGATGCACTGTTGGATGATAATATGTGATTAGATTTAAATGGACGCCGAATATAGCTAGGAGACTCACCTTCATGATTGTTGATTTCTTGAGGGATTGGTCGCTGAAGGACTTGAAGATTGTTACAGTTTCGAGTACTGATGGATTCTGATTATTGAGAATATGCTGGTTCTTGCTTTTATACTCAAAGGAATCGAAGAATTGGAAGTCACAGGAATTCCACCCAAACCAGGAAGCCATGTATGACGAAACTGGTTGCCAAAATTTAATCGGGAATCATTAACAGGCAAGTCGGTTAAGCTTGGCTGGTGCTACCATGCATGATGCGAGCCACTGATCGCAAAATCGCGATCAGCAAATAAATCAATTCAAACGAGATCTTAAATAAAATGAACGAAAAGCTACGAAGGGTGGGAACTGGCCAAACTTGATTTGTTTACATTCATTGCACTTTGATCATTCTATAGCCGGTAAGAATTAAGTGAGAGATACGCATGACACTCAAAATGAGCAGTGTAATAAAAAAATAAATAACATCAAGTATCGGAAACTCCCTAATTCTGCTGCCGACACGAATAGGCACAAAATAAAGCAAACAATAACTAGCCATAAGCAAGAGTTTGAGCCGTCACACAAATAAACATTTTTTGCAACATTGCTTTTTAGTTCATTTTATTTGGCGCCAAATTTTGATCCGGCAACCAGTTATCCACTTGTTGCTTATGTTTGCTTTTCACTGCTTTGTGAGGTATTTGGCAAAATTAGTCGATATATAAATACGCCAAGGATCACTGGGAAGACATACCTCATCAGTACTCGAAACTGCAACAATCTTCAAGTCCTTCAGCGACCAATCCTTCAAGAAATCAACAATCATGAAGGTGAGTCTTCTTACGATATTCAGCGTCCATTTCAATCTAATCACTTTTCCTCATCCAACAGTGCATCGCAGCTGTAGTCATGATGGCCCTGGCCGTTGTTGCTGAAGGAAGCGTCGTGTCCTACTCGGTCCCACTGGCTTATTCTGCTCCTCACACCACCGTTGTCCAGCAGAATGGGGCTCCTCGATACGTCGCATCGGTTCCGGTGACCACCTATGCCGCTGCCCCGGTTGCCTACTCCGCTCCACACACCACCGTCTTCCAATCCAGCGTTGTCCCACGTTATGCCGCCCCAGTTACCTACACCGCTCCACACACCACCCTCATCCAGTCAAATGTTGTCCCACGTTACGCCGCCCCAGAGGCCTATGCTGCTTCCCCGGTCCTGGCATACAACTCGTTCGATTCGGATGTCGTTGAAGCCACCCATGTGGTCGCCCCAGCTGCCACCATCGTTGCTCAGCCAACCGTGGCCGTCGTTGCCCAGAAGGAAGCTCGCTATGTGGCCGCCAACCGTGGAGCCGTCCATGATGCCCCACTCGCCGGACACACCGTTTCGCAGCAGTCGCTGAACCTGGAACCAGCTGTGGGAACCGTTTGAAGCGATTGCAATTGATGTACCTGAACCCCAGTGAATCCCAATTCCAATTAAATCCAATCATTTTTACTCGAGTATGACAAAGTTGAATAAATTGCGGTGTAAATTTATGAAAAAATGTTTTCAAATTTTTTGTTTCAGTGATAATGCTCATGAATTTTATGCATGGATGGGTTCATATTCACATAAATCAACAGAATCATAATGTTTTAAAATGCTATCACATTCTTTATTGACAAAGTAAAGGAGTGTCATGTTTCATTAAAATTCTTCGTCAATCTTAGTAGTTAAATAGATCAAAATTTCACTCATTTTTTCAGCTAAACAATAACTTTGATCTTAAGCCCCCAGATCCTACTTGACCAGTCAATTATTTTCATTGTTCATACAAGAATCTTCATGATCTCTCTATAACATGCTTAAAAAAAAAGAATGGACAAAAGTGGACTAACTTTATCACAATTACTTATCAACATTAAATCAGCATAATACTAGACCTCCCGATGACTTTTTAGATCAGTATGCTGGCTCCTCGATTGCCATTTACTTCGCTCACAGATCTGCAGTTTCAAAATCGCAGCATTCAATACCAACAGTTTGACCCAATTACGAATGCCAATGCTATTTTATCCGATCAAAACCAGAAAAAAAAACCTCTCAATCACTTCAACCGGTGAAGATCACTCGTCATTGATAGGTTGGACAATCGAGAAGACTGCCTCGATTTTCAAGCAATCACTCCGAGCAGGCACGGCCTGATGAAGTGATTCAACTAATTCAATTGAATTCCTCCTTTGATGATCCACCCACCATCGCCACTAACAGCCCAAAGCGGAACGATCGGAGAGCAATAAGCATTTTGATGTTTAATTTGATGATTTCAAGGTCATTCGGGTGTAGTCAGTGCAGATTGGTGCAGATTGGACTGAACTCGGTAGATGCAGCAAAATATATGCGGACGATAGCAATGAACATACTTGGTGGGGAAAGTTAATTTTATTGAAATGAAGCGTCAGTGGGTGATGAAGAGAATTTATTGATATTTGCTGTGTTAATTGTTTATTTTCAAATATTCCGGTTTTATATCAAATAGTCAATAATTCTACCATGTTCCTGGAGCTGGAGCCAGATTCAGTGACTTCTGATTGACAAAGTGTCCGGGAAGTGGGGCCTTATGCACGGCTCCACGGTTGGCAGCCACATACGAAGCGGAGTGATGCACTGGAGCAGCAAAGGCCACAGCTGGAACTTGATGGTGAAGATCCCAATGGCTATCGTAGGCAGTGACGGCCGCTGGAACGTGATAAGGATACGAATTGTAGGCAACTACTGGAGCCTGGTGAGCGTAAGCCTGGTGTGTCCAGCTCTGTTGATCATTCGATTGAACAACGGTTGGTCCATGATGGGAAGCGTAGGTCGCATATGGAGTAGCAGCATAACCATATCCGTGATGGGCGTAAGCCGATGGGATGTAGGAGCCTTCTGTGGCTACGGCGAGAGCCAACATAACTACTGCTGTGATGCACTGTAAAAGACAAAATTGTACTAAGTTCTGAACTTTGTTAAATGAACGCTAGAAACTACCTTCATGATTGTTGATTTTGGATTAAACCTGCAGACAAGTCGATTGATCGGATGAGTATGATCCTTAAAACGAACCAATTGCTCACTTTATACCATCAGAAAAATCGTGTAATATTTTGAAAGCTTGAAATTTGCACCAAATGAAAGCAGAATAGAACATCAAAACGAAACAATCCAAAATTCGCGATTGCTACCAACTCGATCAATGTTGGCTGCAGGTCATTGCAGCCGGACGTGGATATACAATTTTAGATTGCTGATTTTATCGTGCCTTAATTGGTGCGCTTTTTTTGATTAAATTAAATCATTCAACGGTTTGTCAAAGCTTCTGCTTTGTTTTACACCTATTCGATCATGGTATAAAATGGACCTGTGCATTGGCAAAGGAATCAAACTAAATCCATCTTCCATCTAGTTCGTGTCTTTAGAGCGAATTTCAAAACAGTTATCATGAAGGTAATCAACTTGATCTTCTTTATTAAAATGTCCCCATTTAACCAATACTAATTATTTTACAGTACATCGCAGTTGTAGTCATGATGGCCCTTGCCGTAGCCGCTGAAGGTTCCTACGCCCCATCGGTCTACGCCCATCACGGATATGGTTATGCTGCTGCTCCATATGCGACCTACGCTGCCCATCATGGACCAACCGTTGTTCAATCGAATGATCATCACAGCTGGGCTCAACACGCCTATGCTCATCCTTATCAAGTGGCTGCCTACAACTCATATCCCCAGTACGTTCCAGCTGCCGTCACTGCCTACGATAGCCACTGGGATCATCATCATCAAGTTCCAGCTGTGGCCTTTGCTGCTCCAGTGCATCACTTCGCTTCGTATGTTTCTGCCAACCGTGGAGCCGTGCACAAGGCTCCACTTCCCGGACACATTGTCAACCAGAAGTCGCTGAATCTGGCTCCAGCTCCAGGAACTTGGTAGATCCTGAATCAGAAACTCGATAGATATGAAAACGGCTTATGTATAAATACAGTTATTTGCAATTCTAATCGTTCCATGTTTGATTCATCCGAAATCAGTAATTGATAAGAATGCAGCTCAATAAATTATTCCTCCGATGTCTGAATGATGGTTTTAGTGCTTTCAGTATTTTGCGCATCCTCCCACAGAAGGTCACTTCACATTCATTGGCGTAGTGGATATAGGTCAGTGCTGCTAACAATAATTTCTTCTGTACTCAACTAAGCTGTATTTGACAATTTTGGAGCTGGATAATCAAGCACTGGTGAATATCATCAAACGCGTATTCGTTGATGTACAATGTGTTCGTAGACCTAATAATTTCCAACATCACTTTGACTTTGGAAAAATACATAAGTTACCAACCAATCCACCATGACGCACCCAGTTGGCAACGACATGAAACCACCAACCATCCTACAATCATTATTTATACCTCATCATCAGATACCAGCAATTTTACTATGAGCGTGAGCCCTGTGACATTCCAAAATCATTCAACAGACAGAATCAGTAGAATTGGCAGCGACAGAAGCCAGGTGACAACGACACGGAACCACAAACAAAATTTGGACTGCATCAGCTGTGAACATCTGGACAACAGCGAAGACGACGACGACAGCGAATTACCCTTGGAATAACATCAGCAGGCACGGTTATCTTGGTTAGCCTTTTTGAATAGTTAGCTCAGGGTAGAGTTAAGTATCGATGAATAAAGAATTCATTAATTGTTCAGCAGCATAATCGAGCAGGTGTTTTTTTTTTAAACGCGTAAAGGCTGGCGAAAAGTAAATTGGTGCACCCCTCACGCGCCACTAGCACGCCTTTAGTGTTGGGAATTGAAAATCTTTGACAGTGGTTTGTTTACATTTCTACAGAAAACAACTGTTGCAAGTTCGATCGCGTTCAGAAATAACGTGAAATGTATCTCGAAAGAAGAAAAAAATATTGTGCACAAACACCTGGAAAATCTGGAGTCGTTCGGTTCCAAGCTGGCTAAAGTGCCAAAAACAACAGTTTTTCGAGTGCTAAAAACCTACAAGGAAACCCTGAGTGTGGAAAGGAATAAGTGGACCTACGAAAAAACTGGAACCAGGGATCGTCAGCAAGGTGTTGAGGTGCGTTAAAGCCAACCTCGGTCTTTCGATCCGAGATGTGGCCAGGTACAACGCCAAATTTCAAACGGTGCGGAACATCCTTGCAGGGAATGATACAAGTCGCACAAAGCCAATAAACATCCGAACCGGCACATGAAGTGGAATTTTGATGGCCAAAAAGCGTGCAAGGCTCTTGTATTACCGTGCTTTGACGAGACACAAGGGCTGCACTTTGATCGATGACGAAACATACGTCAAACTCGATTTTAAGCAGCTTCCCGGTCAAAAGTTTTACATCGCTACTGGACGTGAGGATGTGCCGGGAAGATTCAAGTTCGTGTTTGCCAACAAGTTCGCGAAGAAGGCCATGATTTGGCAAGCGATTTGCAGTTGTGGCTTGAAAACGGAACCATTCGTCACATCCTCGACGATGACATCCCAAGTTTACATTGAATAAAGGGAGGCAAAGTCATCTTTTTGGTCAGCTGCCACTACTCCTAGGTGGTTCTGGAGTGGTATGCTGCCAAAAAGATCGATTTTGTCCCCAAGCTAATGAATCCTCCGAATTGCTTGGAATTTCAATAAATCGAAAAATACTGGGCAATTTCAAAGCAGCGACTTTGAAGAAGCGGCGGGGCAGTTGAGGTTTCCATTGTGCGGGCGTTGATGGGCTCCATCAAGAGGAAGGTTCGAGATTTCATTCGAACAACTGGAGAAATGTAACCATCTTATGCTGTAACTTTGAAGCTTTAATAAAATTACTGTAAAGCAACCATTAATATACTTTTAAAACTTATTGAATCACGAATTACATGTCTTTTTGTGCGTACCAATTTACTACTAGTACGCCCTCATCCAATTAAAAGATGGGCCATAGTATAAATCAACTATCTTGAATGTACAGATGTATAAGGCGTCATATAGCCTAATCAGTGAAGGCATGGTATTACCAACAATCAATACGAAACTAACGATTTTAAATTGGCTCACCACTTTAGTAGCCTATTGGTCCCAAGCAAACGATTAACGTACCCTATTCTAGTTGAAATTCTATTACTACACTATGTTTGTTTTGATTCGCTATGAAAGTTTGACAGATAACATCAGGGGTGTGTGGATTCATGCAGAACATGCAGGGGTGAGTGAAATAGCTTGGGACTGCTTGGGACCGTTGTTCTGGTACTGAGTGAGCCAAAAATAATAATGATTTTCTTCGGGACCCAGTGGTCTTAGAGTTACCTCTATGGTATTACCAAGCAGGAGCCGGCAGGTTCAATTCCCGCTCCGGTCGAGGTAATCATTGTGCTTGCCATACAATATACAAATTCATGCAACTCTCAGCATCTAGAACACTAAGTTGAGAGCTGGAA